AAAATGGAGTCTCGCCCGTGTGCACTCGAAGATGCCTCTGCAGGTGAGTGGTCCTTTTAAAACACTGGCCGCACTCCGAGCACAAATAGGGCCTCTCGCCTGTGTGGTTTCTCAGGTGCTTGACAAGGTCTGAATTGTCCTTGAATGCTATCCCGCACTCCGAACAGGTATAGGGCCGCACGCCGGTGTGAAGCCTCTGATGCTTGACGAGATCTGATCCGGATGTAAAAGATTTGTCGCACTCCGTACAGGAGTAGGGCCGCACCCCTGTGTGGTGTCTTTGATGCTTGGCAAGATCAGAAGTTGATATGAAACACTTCCCACACTCCGAACATAAATACGGACGTTCCCCTGTGTGCGACCTTTGATGGAGGGTTAGATGGGACTTCGATGGAAAACATCTAGAGCACTCTGTGCAGGGATACGGTCGTACTCCTGCGTGGTACCCTTGATGCCTAGCAAGATGGGATCTCCATTTAAAGCATTTTCCGCACTCGGGACATGGAAACAAACGTCCTCCAGACCCTGGGGGTGCTCTCTCACATGCAAAAAGATCTGACCTCTTTTTGGAACTTTTTCTGGTCTTAGGACATGGAATTGCCTTGCCTCCTCCATGTCCAGATGTATGTGGTTTATCGAAAGAGAATCCCTCTGGATTAGATAGATCTGGTGATCTGTCTGGACTGTAAAATTGTAGATTGATATTAGGAGTGACAATATGTGATAAATCAGAAGATTCCTTAGGATCACATAGAGCTGTAGAGCTGTAAAGCATGCAATGCAAATTTTCAGCAATGGGAATACTGTGGGCATGTTGTAAGATGGCATTATCTTCCGCAGTATATTCTGCAGATGAATAAAGATCTCCCACTGAGGCATTCCAGGATTCATGATCATCTGTTGGAAAAAAATGTATTCATAAATGCTAAAAGTACATTAATTTCCTATGATTTTCTCAAAGGTTCATGTATATTTGTCTAGTAGTCAACAGCTTCATATGGAATTGGGTACAACCCTCAAATTAGAACATATATCAGATAATGTAAATACAGTAATGCAGACAATCCAAACACTGAGTAACGGTGTACATACAGTATATAACATCGTCTAACCAAGGAATGGAGATGGACCTTTATTAGGGTGTCATGTATCTCCTCCTCATTTGTTGGGAACGACGTTATATTGAGGAATGGAGATGAACCTTCCATATGGTGTCCAGTATCTCCTCCTCATTTGTTGGGAACATGTCGTTATATTGAGGAATGGAGATGGACCTTCCATATGGTGTCCAGTATCTCTTCCTCATTTGTTGGGAACATGACGTTATATTGAGGAATGGAGATGAACCTTCCATATGGTGTCCAGTATCTCCTCCTCATTTGTTGGGAACATGTCGTTATATTGAGGAATGGAGATGGACCATTCATATGGTGTACAGTATCTCCTCCTCATTTGTTGGGAACATGATGTTATATTGAGGAATGGAGATTGACCTTTCATATGGTTTCCAGTATCTCCTCCTCATTTGTTGGTAACATGTCGTTATATTGAGGAATGGAGATGGACCTTTCATATGGCGTACAGTATCTCCTCCTCATTTGTTGGGAACATGACGTTATATTGAGGAATAGAGATGGACCTTTCATATGGCGTACAGTATCTCCTCCTCATTTGTTGGGAACATGATGTTATATTGAGGAATGGAGATGGCCCTTTCATATGGCGTACAGTATCTCCTCCTCATTTGTTGGGAACATGATGTTATATTGAGGAATGGAGATGGCCCTTTCATATGGCGTACAGTATTTCCTCCTCATTTGTTGGGAACGTGACGTTATATTGAGGAATGGAGATGGCCCTTTCATATGGTGTACAGTATTTCCTCCTCATTTGTTGGGAACATTGTATATTGAGGAATGGAGATGGACCCATTCATATGGTGTACAGTATCTCCTCCTCATTTGTTGGGAACATGATGTTATATTGAGGAATGGAGATGGACCTTCCATATGGTGTACAGTATCTCCTCCTCATTTGTTGGCAACATGATGTTATATTGAGGAATGGAGATGGACCTTTCATATGGTGTCCAGTATCTCCTCCTCATTTGTTGGGAACATGACGTTATATTGAGGAATGGAGATGGCCCTTTCATATGGTGTACAGTATTTCCTCCTCATTTGTTGGGAACGTGACGTTATATTGAGGAATGGAGATGGACCTTTCATATGGCGTACAGTATTTCCTCCTCATTTGTTGGGAACGTGACGTTGTATTGAGGAATGGAGATGGCCCTTTCATATGGTGAACAGTATCTCCTCCTCACTTGTTGGGAACATGAGATTGTATTGAGGAATGGAGATGGACCTTTCCTATGGTATAAAATATCTCTACCTCTTTTTTTTGAGGAATGGAAACATCATATGGCGTACAGTATCTCCTCCTCATTTGTTGGGAACATGATATTATATTGAGGAACGGAGATGGACCTTCCATATGGTGTACAGTATCTCCTCCTCATTTGTTGGGAACATGATGTTATATTGAGGAATGGAGATGGACCTTTCATATGGTGTCCAGTATCTCCTCCTCATTTGTTGGGAAAACGTGACGTTATATTGAGGAATGGAGATGGCCCTTTCATATGGTGTACAGTATTTCCTCCTCATTTGTTGGGAACGTGACGTTATATTGAGGAATGGAGATGGACCTTTCATATGGCGTACAGTATCTCCTCCTCATTTGTTGGGAACATGATGTTATATTGAGGAATGGAGATGGCCCTTTCATATGGCGTACAGTATCTCCTCCTCATTTGTTGGGAACATGATGTTATATTGAGGAATGGAGATGGCCCTTTCATATGGCGTACAGTATTTCCTCCTCATTTGTTGGGAACGTGACGTTGTATTGAGGAATGGAGATGGCCCTTTCATATGGTGAACAGTATCTCCTCCTCACTTGTTGGGAACATGAGATTGTATTGAGGAATGGAGATGGACCTCCTATGGTATAAAATATCTCTACCTCTTTTTTTTCAACACATATGGCGTACAGTATCTCCTCCTCATTTGTTGGGAACATGATATTATATTGAGGAACGGAGATGGACCTTCCATATGGTGTACAGTATCTCCTCCTCATTTGTTGGGAACTTGATGTTATATTGAGGAATGGAGATGGACCTTTCATATGGTGTCCAGTATCTCCTCCTCATTTGTTGGGAACGTGACGTTATATTGAGGAATGGAGATGGCCCTTTCATATGGTGTACAGTATTTCCTCCTCATTTGTTGGGAACGTGACGTTATATTGAGGAATGGAGATGGACCTTTCATATGGCGTACAGTATCTCCTCCTCATTTGTTGGGAACATGATGTTATATTGAGGAATGGAGATGGCCCTTTCATATGGCGTACAGTATCTCCTCCTCATTTGTTGGGAACATGATGTTATATTGAGGAATGGAGATGGCCCTTTCATATGGCGTACAGTATTTCCTCCTCATTTGTTGGGAACGTGACGTTGTATTGAGGAATGGAGATGGCCCTTTCATATGGTGAACAGTATCTCCTCCTCACTTGTTGGGAACATGAGATTGTATTGAGGAATGGAGATGGACCTTTCCTATGGTATAAAATATCTCTAACTCTTTTTTTTCAACACATATGGCGTACAGTATCTCCTCCTCATTTGTTGGGAACGTGACGTTATATTGAGGAATGGAGATGGACCTTTCATATGGTGTCCAGTATCTCCTCCTCATTTGTAGGGAACATGATGTTATATTGAGGAACGGAGATGGACCTTCTATATGGTGTACAGTATCTCCTCCTCATTTGTTGGGAACATGATGTTATATTGAGGAATGGAGATGGACCTTTCATATGGTGTCCAGTATCTCCTCCTCATTTGTTGGGAAACATGATGTTATATTGAGGAATGGAGATGGCCCTTTCATATGGCGTACAGTATTTCCTCCTCATTTGTTGGGAACGTGACGTTGTATTGAGGAATGGAGATTGCCCTTTCATATGATAAACAGTATCTCCTCCTCACTTGTTGGGAACATGTGATTGTATTGAGGAATGGAGATGGGCCTTTCCTATGGTATAAAATATCTCTACCTCCTTTTTTTTTCAACACATTAGGTGATGAGGTAGAAACATTGATGATGTTCCCATGGACAGCAATAGGTTCTTTTTCTTTGGTAGAACACATTGGACTCAATGTACTTAAGTTATTATAGTTTGAAAGAATTCTGTCACAAGACTACCCCTTTTTTTTTTGTATTCATTTACTGTAAATGTTAAGGGTTTTTTTTTTTTTATTTGAACAGAAAAACTCTATCATGCCATTCCATGGAAAAATTGAGAAAGTAGAAGATGCTTTTTCAGACAATAACATTATTACTTGTATACTGTCTTTTACAATTAAAGATTAATTGTTCTACAGATATTACTCATCTACTGTTTATAACCCCAGTCGCAGCTGAAGTTTGTGAAAGGTCTGCCAAGTCCTGGAACATATAAAATGTGGATGGTGTCACCTTAAGGCTACGTTCACACTAGCGTTGTGTGCAGGCGGCAGAGAGGCGTTTGGGAAGCGTTTTTACCGCTTCCCAAATGGCTCAGGTAATTCTGCACATTGCAGCACATGGTGCTGTTCTAACGGGAGCGGGTAGCGTCGCGGCAAAACGGACGCCTGTGGACGAGTCAGGAGGCGTTGAAGCCTCCTATTCTTGTCTATGGTGCCGCTCCGCAAACGCCCGTCCGGAGTTTGCGGGGCGTTTGCAGAGCGGTAACACCATTCAAACTTTATTCTAGGCATTTGTGGGGCGTTTTTAATGCTCAGCAAATGCCTAGCAACCGGCGCTAAACCGCGCATGCGGCATTTGCAGAGCGTTTGTCGAGCGTTAAAAAACAAAGGCAAGCGTTGGTAAAACAGCCAAGTGTGAACGAGCCCTTAGTGTTTATTACTAACCTGTGCTGCCATCCTCAGAAGATTCCTCTTCTTTGATTGTCACCATTATCCCGACTTCCTCTGAAGACAGCTGGTCATCCTTCACAAACATCTCTTCTTCTTCTTGTTTAATCTTGACTTTCATATCTCTCAATTCTTCACTCTACAAGCACAAAAAGTCATCTTACAAACAAGAACTCTAACAAAAAGAGACTATGTGGAAGAATATAATAAGTCATACCTACCTGATGATGGTGGGGGATGGTGTGACCTTCCTGTGTGGAATCCCGCGAATACAGAGGATGGGAACATCTCTCTGGTGGGTTCCCATTACTGGATCCATCTACCTGATGATGGTGAGGGATGGTGTGACCTTCCTGTGTGGAATCCCGCAAATACAGAGGATGGGGACATCTCTCTGGTGGGTTCCCATTACTGGATCCATCTACCTGATGATGGTGAGGGATGATGTGATCTTCCTTTGTGGAATCCCGGGAATACAGAGGACGGGGACATCTCTCTGGTGGGTTCCCATGACTGGATCCATCTGTAGGAAACACACACACTAACTGAATCCATTGTTTCTATGTGTTTATCAGATGATGGGGGATCTAGGTGGACCCCCTCTGTACTGCTCTCTCCTTTACAATAAAGTCTCCTCTTACCCGGTGATGTGAGGGGTGGCTGATTGTCCATCATGACGTCCTTGTAGAGGTCCTTGTGTCCTTCTAAATACTCCCACTCCTCCATGGAGAAATAGACAGTGACATCCTGACACCTTATAGGAACCTGACACACACAATGATACAGTCACCATCCAGACACATCCCTTGTCTGTTACTGGAGAATGTCCCAGAATTCCCGGCACCGCTCACCTCTCCTGTCAGCAGATCAATGATCTTGTTAGCGACTTCTAGAATTTTCTTATTGTTGGCATTCATTGTCAGAGAGGAAGGTCGGGGATCACTGGACTTCTTTTTGGGTCCATAATCCTACATAATGAGATAATCAACATTGTATATCCTCCTCACCTCTCCGGTCAGGTCTGTGTTTATTAATAGAGACAGGAGTGATGTCATGTGACCTCCCAGAATCCTCCTCACCTCTCCGGTCAGGTCTGTGTTTTATTAATAGAGAGTCTGTGATTAATAGAGAGAAGAGTGATGTCATGTGACCTCCCAGAATCCTCCTCACCTCTCAGGTCAGCTCTGTGTTTTATTAATAGAAATGAGAGTGATGTCATGTGACCTCCCAGAATCCTCCTCACCTCTCAGGTCAGCTCTGTGTTTTATTAATAGAAATGAGAGTGATGTCATGTGACCTCCCAGAATCCTCCTCACTTCTCCGGTCAGGTCTGTGTTTTATTAAAAGAGGTAATAGTGATGTCATGTGACCTCCCAGAATCCTCCTCACCTCTCCGGTCAGCAGGTAGATGATCTCCAGGGTGAGGTTTAGTATCTTCTCGGTCAGGTGACTCTGGTTGTCATCCATCTTGGATCATGTGATTTGCCCAGGATGTTTCTCTCTGCAGATAGATAATAAAAGTCATCTGGACTGTAGGACTGGGAATAGGTATATATAATGTGAGGATGGCAGTTTTTTTCTGCTCTTGCCATGGCATGATTGGTAAGTTTGGTAGATGTTGCTTTAGGAACGGCCCCCAGTTGGATACACTGGGGTTGATTTGATTTACAACCTGGAGCACCCACATCTGGTGCAGCTACACATGAGAGCCAATCAGCTTCTGACTTCAGCTTGCTCATGTAAGCTGGATAAACCTGGACACTGATTGGTTTCCATGCAGAGCTGCACCAGATTTTGCACCCTCCAGTTTTTGTAAATAACTCTCATTCAGTCCAGCCTATTTCATGTTTAATGTTTTCTTGGGACATGGGTTTCTTCTACTTTTTTGGACTGCGTGATGGTCGGAAAAATAATTTTTTTTTTTCTGTTATGCTCACTTTAGATCTGCTGGCAACGACGGCTGAGAATGATTCCCTTCAGCCGTAGTTTATCGATCGGTTTTCAGGGATTGTAACGGGCTCAGTTGAGTGATGTGTAGAGTAAGTTTACTATGTACCTGGTGTAGTTCCCCTCTCTGGACAAAAGATGGAGCTGGAGGCAACGATAAGAAGGGCCACTTTGAGACCGCTTACACTTTCAGTTTGGGGGACAGGACGTTGAGCTACATTTTTACCGCCCTTGCAGTACTGCTGTCATTTTCAACCTATTTAGGTAAATGGGGCCACTCTACAACCACTCTGCAACTGAAGTGCGGTGGTGTTCACAGTGTTAAAACAAGGGACATATCACCTTCTCATTACCTCTCAAACACCTCTGAAAAGGAATCCACCATGGATCCAATGTTAGCCCCAAGTCTAGAGGTAGCCTTAGAGTTAATGTCTACCCTGCTCCTGCCAGTAGTTGGGCTTCTTCGTTAGAGATTTAGATTATGAATAATTTTGGTGGAGAGCTGCCAGGGGTTCAACATGGGAAGTGTCTGAGGACTAGGCTACATCTAGAACAGGGGTCTCCAAATCTTCTGAACAAAGGATCAGTTTACCATCTTTGGGGCTTTACAGGAGCCAGACTGTGACCAGTGGGATTATAAAGTGCCCCATCATTGGTTTTAGTGGAAGGAATAGTTCCCCATCATTGGTATTTCTGGGAGGAATGGTGCAACATCATTGGTGTTTGTAGGAGGAATGGTCCCCCATCATTGGTGTCAGTGGGAGGAATGGTGCCCCATCATTGGCGTTTGTAGGAGGGATGGTCCCTCATCATTGGTGTCAGTGGATGGCATGGTGCTCTAAGGACCAGATAATGGCAAGCAAAAGGCCACATTCAGCCCATGGACAGCATTTTGGAGACCACGGATCTAGGATATCTACTGAAAGACTTAATCTCCGAGATACTCCCCATAAGGGTGAAGCATCAGAGGGAAGAATGGTGCCCCATTGTTGGTTTTCAAGGTAGGAATGGTGCCTCATGATTGTATTTGGTATTTGTGGGAGGAATTGTGCCCCATCATTGGTGTTTGTGGGAGGAGGAATGGTTCCCCATCATTGGTGTTTGTGGGAGGAATGGTGCCCCATCATTGGTGTTTGTTGGAGGAATGGTCCCCCATCATTGGTGTCAGTGGATGGCATAGTGCTCTAAGGACCAGATAAAGACAAGCAAAAGGCCACATTCAGCCCATAGGCAGAAGTTTAGAGACCACTGATCTAGGATATCAAATGAAAGACTTCATCTCCGAGAGACTCCTCATAAGGGTGAAGCATCAGAGGGAAGAATGGTGCCCCATTGTTGGTTTTCAAGGTAGGAATGGTGCCCCATCATTGGGGTTTCTGGGAGGAATGGTGCCCCATCATTGGTGTTTGTAGGAGGAATGGTCCCCCCCATCATTGGTGTCAGTGGATGGCATGGTGCTCTAAGGACCAGATAAAGGCAAGCAAAAGGCCACATTCAACCCAGGGGCAGCAGTTTGGAGACCACTGATCTAGGATATCAACTGAAAGACTTCATCTCCAGGAGACTCCCCATAAGGGTGATGCATGGGAATTAAGTTACAGAACTTTTGGTATTACTTGCATCCCCCGTGTAGGAATGCAGGATTCTGGCCAACCACGGTGAAGTACAGACTACTCCGCAACTCACTCTCTCCCCATTTATCAAATGTTCTGTTTATAACTATGTTTTGGCCCGTCACCTGGGATCAGGTTGAATGAGGTACTTAAATATGGAATTGACTAATTGGTGAAGTAAAGCTTCAAAAATGCCTTTTGCTTCTGGACCCTTCCTTCGCCTAACCACTATTGGGAATGTTTCCTGGTAATGGGCCCCTGTGGGACTCATCACTGTAAGCCCCGTATTGGGTATTTAAAAGTACAGTTGAAGAATACTGGTCAGACAAGACCTGGTGTCTCTAAAGGAGTGAACTCACCAAAAGGGGTGAGCTATGGAGGCTTCCAGTTTCCCAGGTACCCTGAGGAGCCTCGGATCCAGAGGATCTCAGTGTGCTTAGTGGAACCACTGGTATCGACTATCTTGTTTTGCACTGTCTGATTGGCCCACCTATACTTTTCTCCACTTCCTCTTCATTGCCTAGGCATGAATGGGTTAGAGTACATGCGGTGACCATGCAGCCCAGCACATAGCACCCCAACAATGGTATGGAGCTGGTACGGGATTCTTTGGCTTTTGGTTGCTGGAGCTCCACAGAGAAGCTCTGACATGTGGAGGAACCCCCGGACTGTGACACATACAGAACATGAATCAGGTGGACCCCGACGCTGTCTGAGAGCTGAGGCCATGCTGATAACAGGTTTGCCGAAGAGTGACATTTTTTTCTGACCACCGATGTTGGATACCTGCCCAAAGGCAAATGTCCTACTTCAGAAGCTGTTAAGAATGCCGTCATTGCTGGCTATCTTCTGAAAAAACTTGATTTCTGGCTGTTAGTACTGAGTTCCTGATCTGAAACAAATGGTTAGATCAGCGTAGGAAGATGCCCTTGGAATAGTAGAGTGTTCTCTGTATGTGTCAGAGCTATAGAGAGGAATGATAGAATGTCACATATTGCTGGAGATAAAAGATGTCACAGTGACTATGGAGGAAGAGGACGGACATCAGTGACTATGGAGGAAGAGGACGGACATCACGGTGACTATGGAGGAACAGGATGGACATCACGGTGACTATGGAGGAAGAGGATGGACATGACGGGGGGGGGGGTTACTGGGTGTAAATATAAAATAATATCTTATTACCTCCTCTTCTGCCACTTCCAGCAATTTCCCCTCTCTACTTCCTCCCAACTCACCTCTCACCTGGAACTCCTTGTTTGTATCTACCATCACTTCCCGTGCGTGCGTCCCATCCATTTTTGTGTTTGTGTGTCATTGCTTTCCTTGTTCCCATTTCAGTAGGTATAAGTGTGATCGCCATCTTGTGGAGAAATTCAGAACTGTGATTATTGTCATATGGCCAGACCTATGAGGACACCTCTACCAATCATGGGCTTCAGGTGTTTCCAGTGAAGGGTCTCGGTAATGCTATAGTACATCGTACAAAGATGTTTTGGCCAAATGTGCTCTTCCGACCTTGTAATAAATTGAGGAAGGGCCTTTTCTGGTCCAGCATGACTGTGCCCGTTTACAAACCGGTTACAAAAAGACATGGCTTGACCATATTGGTGTGAAGGAAGTTGGGTGGCCTACACGATGCCCTGGCTTGAACCTTACTGAGCAACTTTGGTATGATTCACAACTCTGATTATAAGCCAGGTCTTCTCCTCCAACATCCTTGACAAATTGCCACATATTCCCCCAGATACAATCTTGATTGACACAAATCTACTCAACCAGGCAATTTTATAAGGTATACCTTGCCAGTACTGGGTTGTACTCCCTTTTGCCTTCAGAACTGCCTTAATTCTTCATGACATAGATTCAACAAGGTGTTGGAAACATTCCTCAGAGATTTTGTTCCATATTGACATGAGTTACAGTTGCCTTTCTATCAACTCCAACCAGTCTGACCATTCTC